TCTTATCTCTTTAAATAAGAGTGTTGATGAAGAGAAGCTTGAAGAATGGCTTCGTCAGAATTTATCTTATGTTTTTTCTCACGCTAGGAAATTCGAAGGCGATACGTAAGTTAACATTTATAAATTTGTATACTTAGATTTGTTATGTTAAAGTTATTACTCATAATTAAATTATTTTTTTAGCTTTGGACATTTGCACTTTTATACTAAAAAGGACGCAGCAAGCTTTTTTTTTGCAATGAGCAAAGAAGAATTGAGGGGTAGCCCCTTCGGATGTGTTGTGAAATTTAGCCGATTGACTTACTTTTAAACCTCCATCAAAACGGGATATGTAATCATAAATATAATGTTCTTTGTTTCATTCTTTTATATAAACATAATTATACATTTTATTTATACATTATGATTAATAGTACAAACAACCAGTGGTGAACAATGAGTTATCTTTAGTTGAAAGAGTATTTAAACTCGAAAGAAGGGTTGACGAACTTGATGCTCATGGAAGAAGGGTTGACGAACTTAACGCTCGTGGAAGAAGGGTTCACGAACTTGACGCTCGTGAAAGGGTTGACGAACTTGTAGCTAACAAGAAGTTAAGAACCGATAATTTTGAAGTTGTCTAAGTTTAGCTTAGATTAAAAGCATTTTTGTATTAAAAACTTCCATAATATATTTTTAATAAATATTAAATTTACATATTAGCATTAGCATCTATTTGTATAAAACATTAGTATCGTAAAATCTCGAAATAGTGAGCATCTGCATGCTATTTCGTGGGCGTTATTTCCAATGTATAGGCTGAATTTCTGAATAGGATGTAAAATAGCCCACAAAGGATTTGTTCAGACCGAACTTTTTAGAGCAGGCCTAAAGCTAGTCCTGATAAAATTTAATAAAAAGGAATAATGAATACTTTTTGGCATTTTGTTTTCAAGATTATCTATATTGTATATTAAATTGCTAAGTTAGAACCGGACTTAAGAACCGGAGCTGAGTCAGACTGAATGGACTTTTTAACATCCCTATTTTTGAACTTGTCTTTTTTCAAAATACGTAATAGTGGGATGTGCTTTACTTTAGAACGCGCATGGGCGTTATTTTGAATTTACATATGCTACTTTTGGGGTGCACGATTTTTGAAATAATGCCCATACCGCTATTTCGAGATTTTACGGTACTATTTATTTCCTGTGCAAAAGGTAAATCCTCTCAATCAGCTGGGGGCCCGAAGGGCCTGGGATTTACTAGTTATTCCTCCGTAGTGAGAAATAAGGGTGTTATTCTTCGTTTTATATAATGTTATGACAGCGTTTTTCGACTCAAATACTTTAGCCAGTACAACAAAACAAAACCAGTTATAAAAAGACAATTGCAAAATGAATTTTCACTTTAATAATGCAATCACATTAAAGTAATTTAAAAAACTTCGCCTTTAATTATAATAATACAATTGCACTGACTTAGAGAATTATAACAGCTCTTTGCCTTATATAACTATCGTGTTCTATAAAGTGACTAAGAGAATTTTAAGACCTTTATTTAAGTAACACTATTACAACGGCTAAAGAATTTTAAAAATTTCGCCAAAAATAAAATCGCAATGCAAACTAAAAGAATTATTTTCAAATATATAAAAATTTAAAGTGCACCCGGGGAAATAACAAGAAATAACAGGAAATAACAAGTGATTCCAGGAAAATAATTTTAGAAAACTAATTTTCATTTGTTCTAGAATATGTAATATTTTTTCTTGTAATACCTGAACTACGTATCAACAGACAATTTGTGTAATCAATCCTAATATAGTGATGATCTGACCACTTTCGCCATGTAAGGTATATTAAAATTATGTTATATTTTTTTTAAATCATATCTTTTCGATAAATAAATTCAAATTCGCAAAAAAAAAGATATGGCTTTGTAAAATTCATAAAGAACTACAATAGTATGTCTTTTTTTTTGCAAATTTTTTAAATATTTATTAAGGAGTTATAGTGTTGGTTGCTTTTAATTAATTGGCACTGTAATCACATTTGGATCGACGTAAATTACCAATTAGAAGACCTTGAGATTACAAAATTATAGGACTAGTTTCGGACTAGTCCTGAACTGTCTCTCAAAAGTCCAGTCCCACCGTGGACAACTTATAGCTGTTTTCAAAAAGATGTGGAATGGGCAGATCATCATATTACAGAAATTCGCCAAGATTTTCAAGATTTCCAAAGTTTTCAAGACCTGCTCCAATCGGTTCCTTAATTTTTACTAATTGGAATTTTCAAATTCTCTGATTCCCCATATGGGCATATAGAAATCGTTTTCCACATCTTTTTGAAAACAGATGTAACATCCCTATCTGCAGCCAATGAAATTTTGTGAATTCTTATGCAGTATATATAATGAAAAATCGCCTAATTTCCTGTAATTTTATGTGACACGATGTCTGCGGAGGTCATACCTTTTTGCAAACTGCAATAATTGAAAAATATAATCGATAGACAATCTAGAATCTCCAAAATTTTCTACTACACATGACCCTTGTGAATATCAACCTACGTTATAGCTGTTTTCAAAAAGGTGCGAACAGACAAAAAAACTATATCACAGGAAATTCATGAAATTACTCAGATTTCCAAAACTTTCAAAGCCAGCTCTAATTCTCCACATAGGAGCATGGGTAAAAATCTGATGATTGGCCAATTTTTAAACTACTACCTTATACTATTTATGCATACATCACGTGATTGATTTACGCCAAACTACAATACTTTGAAAAAAAATTTTGAAGGCTACGTTGACTTGAATTTTTTTTGTATTTGTGCTTACCAAGGTTCTAGCTTTCATGATCTAAAAATAAAATTTCAAGATCCAAAAATAGGTGAAAGTTCTACTAGAAACAATGCCAAAAGGTAGACCTCGTAAAAATATGGGACCTTGTACAGTATATGGCAAGAATGACCTTAAAGAAAGGTTTCGCATACTGACACTAGATCTTTTGACCAAAGTTAAGCAAAGTCTAGCGTTTCCCAATTTAAAGGCAGAACTTGGCTTAAATGACCAATTGTGTCATCACATTACGTTGAATTAATTGCATTTGATAGAAACTTGAAACCAAATAGACGACGAAAATACAGTTCCAATAGAAACTTGAAACCAAAAAACGACAAAAATCTAGTTCAAATTTAATTTATAATAAGGATGTTGAAGATGAAAGTTCTAATGAGCAATACAATATTGGTAATTGTTATGCAAATAGTATAGGTGTTCCTGAAGATGAAAGAAATGCATTTGAATGGTATTTGAAATCTGCTGAAGGAAGAAATTCTGATGGTTAATTAAAAGTTGGAAATTGTTATCAAAACGGTATAGGCATATCTAAAGATGAAAAGAAGGCATTCGAATGGTATTTGGTATCTGCTAGAAATGGAAATTCAAATAAAAAATTAAGCATAGGGAATTGTTACCAAAATGGCTTAGGTGTACCTCATGATGAAAAGAAGGCATTCGAATGGTACTTAAAATCTGCTAAAAGTGGAAATGCTAATAGACAGTTAATTGTTGGAAAGTAGCTATCAAAATGGCATAGGTATAGCCAGAGGCATTCGAATAGTATCTAAAATCTGCTAATGGTGAAAGTCATGATGGACAATTAAGCGTTGGAGATTGTTATTGGAATGGTGTAGGCGTGTCTAAAGACGAAAAGAAGGCATTCAAGCATTACATAAAATCTGCTAGTAACGGAAAATCAGAGGGATAATTAATTATTAGAAATTGTTATCGAAATGGTATAGGAGTTACTAGTAATGAAAAGAAAGCTTTTGAATGGTATTTGAAATCTGCTAAAAGTGGAAATCCTAGTGGACGATTGAATGTTGGATTCTGTTATGATGAAGGCATAGAAACTTCTAAAGACAAAGTAAAGGCATTTGAATAGTATTTAAAATCTGCAGAAGGCAGTAATTTAGTTGAAGGATCCAATATCAATGCAGATATAAATATTCTTGGTGATGAAATTTATTTATCACAAGAAAGTTATAAACATTTAATTGAAAAGATTTGAAATTCGAAACAACCTGAAAGAGAGATATCTGAACAAAGTGTAAACAGCCATATTCAGAATAAAAATACAGATATTATACGATTAGATTTACTTAAGGTCACACAAATTTAATATATTGGTTTTCATAACATGAAACTTTTAAACAGACCAGCCGGCCGGCTTTTTTTTTTAAAATTTCATATATAAAAATTTATAAAAATTTTTTAAAAATTTTTTAAAATACCCACCCGGTTATTAAAACATACAAAAATTTTTTTTACAAATTTTTAAATTTTGATCCAGTTGGGTTATAAAAACTAATTAATTAAGTTTGCATGGTCTAATATATAAAAAATGGAAATTTTTTTTAATATTAATAACTAATTATTGTAGATATTGAACAATTTTTAGAGTATTTTAGCAATCAGGTAGCATGGATGACAAAAGTTCTTTATAAAGATCAACAAGAAGGAAATCTACCACAATTAAATGTTGAAGATTTTATTAACTTAATTGAACGTAAAAATCCCAAGCTTCAAGGATTCTTTAAGATTTTATATAATTCAATGAATCCTAAAGAAAAATCATTAAAAACACAAAATTCTTTAAAACAAAAGATTATGGTATTTTGTTATCAAATGGCTGGATTACAAATCAAGCAAGTGAGCAGTGCTAAAACTGCATTGGAACTTTTTTTTGCAAAGTCTGGGGCCTCAGCTCATTGTATTAATACAATGGCTAATATGGGATTATGTATTATTTACAAACGGCTTTTAATAGAATTAATGAAATAAGCAATGAACATCGTATCAATGTGAAAAAATATATTCAAGCTCATGTAAGTAAATTATTTATTAATACTGCAGTATAAATTATTAAGCTATATACTAATTTTAATATAATTTTAGTATCAGAATCTTTTTATCACATGTGTAGATAATTATCATAATCTTCACAGAACTCGTATTCCATCAACAAATTCTGCAAAACAGATTGTTCACAGTGCTACCATATTATTCAATACTATTAAAAGCCCACCTATTCCTTATAATTGTATATGGTTTTTCTATTCACAATCATCAAGGTGTTGATACATCTTTATTAAAAGAAATAGGAATTTTTACCGTATTTTCGTGTAATAACGCCCACCTGCGCGTTATTTTGAGTATATGCGCGTTATTTAGAGTATGCGTATGGGTGTTATTTTGAAACAAGGGTTGATTTTCTGGTAACTTGTAGACTAAAATATCCAGTGAAGTTAACTAATTATATCTAGAAGATAATTCTCAGAATATTTTTGATGAAATCATTAAAGAAATGTATAAACTGTATAATGAAAAAATTTTGAAAGGCAAATATTACAATTCAATTCTTGATACCTTAGAACAATTTCTGGTAAAAAAATTCGATCCTATAGTTCAATTCATTTTCGCATTTTGTTATATAAGCATGGCAAATGGGTTGAAATGGATGAGCATAAAGCATTCATTTATTATCAAAAATCTGCCGAAATGGGGAATGCTAGCGGAATGTGTAAAGTGGATATTGTTATGAATACGGAAATGGTGTTGAACAGGATAAAGATAATGCATTTATTTATTATCAAAAAT